GCGTTCATCTCCGTGGCGAAGCTTCGCTCGGTTCCAGCCAGCCGCAAGATCGGGACGACGTGGTTTCCGGTGAAAATTGCGCTTGACTGCGGTCATGGCGGACGATGATGGTGTCTCGGAAGTCGTTCCCTTCTCGAGGCATCATCGTTGCAGGTCACGTCAACCTGATCGGGGTGTTCCGAGGGAAATCCTAGATCTTGGTCTACCGGATTGGATGATGACGACGTTTTTGATGTCATTCTCCCTCCCTGGGGCATCATTTTGGAGCAAGTGATGGCTGGAGGGGACAAGAGGAGAAGCGGCGTGTCATCTGGCACGTCAACAACGCGGGTCTCAGCAGCATGGAGGAGCGGGGTCTCGCCGGTGCGCGTGTGATGATGGACGAGCACAGGATCATGGCGTTGTCCGGAATAGTGGTGGTGTCGACGGCAGCTAGACCAGGCAAGGTAGATGTAGTAGTATAGCACTAAAGATGGATTGGTGGCAGGTGGCTGCGGCGGCCTCATACCCGGCAAACGTCCTGGTTGATAAGTGCGCCGGAGTGGTGGGTGCCCCATACCAGGCAGGCGTCCTGGTTGGGACCTCAGGTCTTAGATGTTAGGTTTGGCTGCGAGGTCTGTTTACTATTAGGCCCAGACTATCAGCATTCCTTCATCAACTGAATAGGAGTAGCGACAGATGTTGCTTAGACGATGGCTTTAGTCTTACTGTTGTATATGATTTTGTAAGGTCTTGTGTTAATAATTAATAAAATGGTTGTATGCATCATCCAGATGCAGAGACTGGGGTCTTCCTCCTTTTCTAAAAAAAAACCACAGTAATCTATTTGAACATCATGGGGCTGAGGGCGTGCGCCATGCTAGGTTGAGAAGCTTGTAATTGGATTATCACATCAAATGGAAAATGACCATTCGAAGTACCATGCGCAAGGCATTTTCATATTTTCCTTTTGCTCCCAGCTAACCCCTTCCTCCTATAATATCAGATCGTTTTTCAAGCTATGCTACCTTGAAAAACTCTTATATTATGGAATGGAGGGAGTACAACATAGGCTTTCAAACGATGCAAAGTTCTGAATTCATTATTTGAAGTGATGCACACCGCCGCAACCCCTCTCGTTCTCCAGGCGAGGTGTGCCACGGCGGGCGTCGCCCATGGCGGGGCAGATGAGGAGCGACGCAAACCTCTAGGACGGCGACGCGGCCCTCCTTGATGCTGACGATCTCAAGCCTCAGAGTCCACTTTTCCCGCAGGTTCGCATTCTATTTCACGGAAAGGGCGCAGAGCAATTCAGGCTTGTCGCTAGATTACAAAGGAGAAAATTGCTATGACATGCCTCACCAGTGAACGCACAAATCACAATATGCGAGCCACCCAATTCCTAACCTTTAATGGAGAAAATGAATCAGAGAGAGCTAATTACTGAACGTGCTCGTCTGCCGTGCCGTGCCGTGCTCGCCGCGATCGATTGTCCAGATCATTCGGCCATAACTTGACTTGACTTGAAGAAAAGTATGCATACAGTATTAGAGAAAAAAAGAAAAAGAAAAATTCTGATGAATTAGAGAAGTATGCATACAACATGTCAGAGACCAAGACGTGGACTAGCTTTGCTTGTACACCATACAATGGGAGTGGTTGGTAAAATTCTGATGAATTTTCTGAAACTGACCTTTTGATTTGTTTTGCTGATTTGTTGAGTACCGAGAGCTACGAGTCTTTGTATTTTGGACGCCACTACGCGTCTTCCGGCGGATGTATTAGAAGCATCCACCGCATGGAGCACCGTTGGATGAGCGCCCTGACAGCCGTCTGATCTGACCATCGCACACGCGTTACCACCTCCCTACTTCTAGCAACAACCGTCCAGTTTCGGAAACAGAATCCCCTCACCATCGTTCCGCCACAGCTCTGCCCAGCACGGCGGCAGTCGCCACCACCGCAAAATCGCTGCCGCCGGCGCGCCGGGGAACTAGTCCTTGCCGTGCTCGCAAGAGTTGCTGCTCCTCCTCTGTCTCAGCCCCACGAGCAGCTGCTAGCTCCAATCGAGCACGACGGCGGCGACCTCTCACGCCTGACGCTTCTTCGGCGTTTTCTGCAACCGGAGCTATTTTTTCTGAAAAATACCTCATGTTGCAATGTATGACCACTCACTCTCTAACGTCGGGCGCTCCTGCGGCACTGCAACTTGGGCTATGTTTCTGAAACATGTTCCTTGTTGCAGAAAAAAACCTTCACAACCAAAACATTTCTTTTCTTTCTGAAACAAAAGATATGTTGCAGAAATCTTTTGAGACAGACCCCAGTTGCAAAAAAAAACCTTCACCACCGAATCGTTTTTTCTTTCTTTCTGAAACTAGTCATGTGTTGTAGAAATCAACTGAAACAAAACCATTACTGCAAGAAAACAACTCGTCGCGCGGGACTGCCTTGTGGCTAGCGTGGTTGCTTGATCAGGATTAATCTGATGGCTACGCAAGCGGTGGACGCTCGCTCGCGCATCAACCGGTTGAAGGTAACCTTTTCCCTTGTATTTATGCATCAAAATTTGTGTATTTCAGCTGGTAGAAGTAGGGGTTGCAACACTGGAAAAAAACTCCCTAGACTTTAGCGCTGGATGTGTGGCCTGACCCACAATATATGTGCTTATATTACTGGTTTTACCGAGCGAATCCTGGATAGAAATTCCAGCTCCAACTTCTGCCGTGTTGAGCATGGTCGGCTGTCTCAATCAACAAACTATGCATACAGCATGACAAAGACCAAGACGTGGACTAGCTTTGCTTTTAGACCATATACAATGGGAGTGGCCGGTAATTGGCCAACATGACAAATCCTCATGATTTTTGCCGATTGTGGGGAGTACTGAGAGCCATGAGTCCTTGTATTTATATGCCAACACTAAAAAACTCTCTACACCTTAATGCTAGAAGTGTTACCTGACCCACAATGTGCAGATATTATTAGTGTAATTGACATAAATATTACAGCTCCAACTTCTGCCGTGCTGTGCATGGTGGGCTGTCTGAATCAACAAATTTTAGCCACACCTTGAGCGTCGGAAAAGTATGCATGACAAGACCCCAAGACGTGGGTTGTAGACCATACTCCCATATATTGCAGTTGTGGTTTTTTTTTTCGAAAAGGGGGAATACCCCGGCCTCTGCATCTCGACGATGCATACGGCCACTTTATTGATTATTAACACAAGACCTTACAAAGTCGTACAACAGTAAGACCAAAGCCACCATCTTCGCAACCTCTGTCGCTACTCCTATCTAACTGATGAAGGGGCGCTGATGGTCTGGGCCTAATACCAAACAGACCTCGCAGCCAAACCTAACATCATAGACCTGAGGTCCCAACCAGGACTCCTTCCGGGTATGGGCACCCACCAGTCCGGCGTGCTCGTCAACCAGGCCCCCTGCCGGGTATGAGGCCGCCGCATCCACGTACCATCAATCCATCTTCAGAGCTGAACTGTTGCATGAACCGTGCCAGGCCTCACTGCCATCGACGCCACCACGACGCCAGACAGCGCCACCATCCTGCACTCGTCCATCATCACACGCCCACCGGCGAGACCCCCGCTGCTCCATGCCGCTGAGGCCCGCCGTTGTCAACGTGCCAGATGCCACGCCGCTCCTCCTCTTGTCCCCTCCAGCCAACACTTTCTCCAAAACGATGCCCCCAGGAGGGAGAACGACATCGAAACGTCGCCATCGTCCGATCCGGTAGATCCAGATCAAGGGTTTCCCCCGGAGCCTTTCGATCAGGTTGACGTGACCTGCAACGACGATGCCTCGAGAAGGGAACGACGTCCGAGACGCCGCCATCGTCCGCCATGACCGCAGTCAGACGCGATTTTCACCGGAGGCCACGGCGTCCCGATCTCGCGGTTGGCTGGAACGGAGCCCTCCGCCGAACCGGTGACGTTGCCGCCGATCCGATCCCACCGCCATGCGACGCCCCGATGGAGATCCCGATCTAGATCGAAGACGACCTCGACCGAAACCCTGCCACCAGCACCGCCACACCGCGCCACCTCCTCCTAGCCCAGTCGCCGCCGGATCCAGCCGTCCCCGCCTCCGGGAGACCAGCCGGACGAGGCGCCCCTTGTCCCCGATCTGACAGCCCGCGCCGCCGCCACGAGGACCAGAGGAAGGAGGGAATGCCCCGCCGCCGCCCGCGCCGCGCGGGGTTCGCCCGGCGGGCGCACTCCAGCGGCGGCGAGGGGAAGGCGACGCTGGGGAGGCGACGGCGGCGGCGGCCGATTGGGATCTCCCGAGGCGCGCGCGCGGGGCGCGCCGCGGGAGCGGGGGGAGTTGTGGTGGAACCGGAATAAAGATAAGCTGCTCCATTCTCCTTTCCATGTACCATTTCCGACCAATATGACTAAGCTTCTGCTTCTCATCCGAGGAGCTGCGCTACTGCTTTGTCTATTGATCTCCCAAACAGCATCCACTTCCCATGTTCAAGTGAGTGCATCTGCTGGAGCCTGCATCAGCAGCGAGCGAGATGCGCTTCTATCCTTCAAGGCAAGCCTCCTGGACCCTGCTGGCCATCTCTCGTCATGGCAGGGTGAGGATTGTTGCCAATGGAAGGGAGTCCGGTGCAGCAACAAAACGGGCCATCTCATCAAGCTCAACCTCCGCAACGTCGACATGGGCTACTACAGCTACATCATCTACGTGGCCAACTACAACTACTACATGGATGACTATAGCTACCCGAACCAGAGCAGATCATTAAGCTTATCAGCGGGTGAGATGAGCTCTTCTTTGGCTACTCTACAACACATGAGGTATCTTGATTTGAGCTGGAATGACTTCAATGGCACAAGCATCCCTGTCTTCTTGTCTTCTCTCAAGAACCTAAGGTATCTAAACCTCTCGAGGGCAGGATTCAGTGGGAGAATACCTTCTCAACTTGGCAATCTCTCAAAGTTGCAATATCTTGATATCGGTTGGAATTATAATTATAATTGGATTGAGTCTTACATAGTGGATCTTGCATGGTTGCCACGTCTCTCTTTGTTGAGACATCTTGACATGAGTTATGTGGATCTTGGTTCTGCGAGGGATTGGTTTCAGAGAGTTAATATGCTTCCTTCTCTTAAAGTGCTTCGCTTGTCCGACTGTACTGGACTCAATGGTACCGTGTCTGCTAGTATATCAATTTCCAACCTCACACATCTCGAAGTCCTTGATATGTCTCATAACACCTTCAGAATACCTTCCCAATTTGGAAATCTCTCAAAGCTGCAATATCTTGATGTGAGTTGGAATTCTTATCCCAATGTGGATCATGCATGGTTGCCACGTCTCTCTTCGTTGAGCCATCTTGACATGAGTTATGTGGATCTTGGTTCTGCAAGGGATTGGTTTCAGAGTGTTAATATGCTTCCTTCTCTTAAAGTGCTTGGCTTGTCCGGTTGTAGACTCAACAGTACCATGTCTGCTAGTATATCACTTTCCAACCTCACACATCTCGAAGTCCTTGATATGTCTGGTAACAACTTCTATACTTCACTCAAGCATGCATGGTTTTGGAATCTCATAGGCCTTAAGGAGCTTGACCTCTCAGATTCTGGTTGGAAAGGGTCCATTCCTAGTGATTTGGCAAACATGTCATCCCTTCAAGTCATCGACTTCAGTTTCAATCAGCTCGTGGGTTTGCTACCAAACAAATTAGGAAATTTGTGCAATTTGACCATAATGAGGTTTAGTGGTAACAACATAGGTTCGAGCATAGGGGAGTTCATGAGGCGATTACCAAAGTGCTCATGGAATACATTGCAAGAATTTTCAGTGCAGGATGCAAATATGACCGGGAATCTACCCGGTTGGATTGGTAACATGACCAATCTCATTGTTCTTCATGCATCTGAAAACATGTTGTGTAGCCCTCTACCTGTAGGAGTTGGAGCACTGAGTAATTTGAAATGGCTGAACCTCAGGAACAATAACTTCAGTGGTGTGCTCTTGAAAGAACATTTTGCAAGCTTAGGTAACTTAGAGATTTTGGACCTCAGATACAATACCTTCAACGGTGTGTTGTTGAAAGAGATATTTGCAAGATTAGTAAAATTAAGGATTTTGGACCTCAGCTACAACAAATTCAGTGGTGTGCTCTTCAAGGAAAGTTCTGCAAGTTTTGGTAATTTGGAGCATTTGGACCTCAGCTATAACAACTTCAATGATTTTCTCTTGAAAGAAAACTCAAAAAGTTTTGGTAAATTAAAGCATCTGGATCTTAGCCATAATAAATTAGATAGTGTGCTCGTGGAGGAGCATTTTGCAGGCCTATCGAATTTAGAGCATCTGGACTTGTCCTACAACTCTTTGATATTAGCTATCAACCAAAAATGGGTTCCTCCATTTAGATTGAAAGTCGCAAGATTCCAGTCATGCCAAGTGGGGCCCAATTTTCCAGAGTGGCTTAAAGGGCAATCTAACATTGATGTTCTTGTTCTTGGTGATGCAAATCTGGATGATGTTGTTCCTGAGTGGTTTTGGGTGACATTTTCCCGAGCTTCAATCTTGCAAGCATCAGGAAACAAATTGCATGGCTCATTACCAGCAAATCTACGACACATGTCAGCGGGCTATATACATCTCGGATCCAATAAGTTTACAGGTCAAGTCCCACAGTTTCCTATAAATATAGCACGATTGAACCTATCTTCAAACTTTTTATCCGGGTCTTTGCCATCAGGGCTAAATGCTCCACTACTCGAAGAGTTGTTGCTTGCAAATAATCAACTCACAGGCACCATCCCGTCATCTATATGCCGACTGACTAGAATGAAAAGGTTGGACCTATCAGGAAATCATTTAGAAGGAGATATTGGGCAGTGCTGGAAGGAATTTGATGCAAACTCTACAAATCAATTTGGTTATGACATGCTGAGCTTAGCCCTTAATAACAATGATCTCATCGGTGAATTCCCTAAATTTCTTCAAAGGTCATCAGGATTAATGTTCCTTGATCTTTCTTACAACAAGTTATTTGGAGGATTGCCAGAATGGTTACCCCAAAAAATGTCACACCTGAAAATATTAAGAGTGAGATCAAATATGTTCAGTGGTCACATTCCTAAGAGTCTCACTTTCCTTGACAGTCTTCATTATTTGGACATAGCACACAACAACATATCAGGAAGCATACCATGGTCTTTGTCAAGCCTGAAGGCAATGATGACAGTGGTGTCGCAGGACACGGGGGATTACATTTATGAGGAGAGCATCCCAGTAATCACAAAGGACCAAAAGCGTGACTACACCTTTGCAATCTACCAGCTATTGGTTGTTCTTGATTTGTCAAGTAATAGTTTGGCAGGACAGGTTCCAGAGGAGATAACTTTACTCATTGGGCTTACCAATCTGAACTTGTCAAATAATCAACTCACCGAAGCAATCCCAAACCAAATTGGTGATTTAAGGCAGTTGGACTCACTCGATCTATCCTTCAATGAGTTTTCTGGTGCAATACCATCAAGTTTGTCAGCTTTAACTTATTTGAGCCACTTGAACTTGTCATACAACAATCTGTCTGGTGCAATACCATCCGGACAACAGCTACAAGCTCTTGACAACCAGAGGTATATCTACATCGGTAACCCTGGTCTTTGTGGAGATCCTGTCGGCAGGAACTGCTCAACACATGATGCAGAGCAAAGTGGCCTCGAAGATATAGATCATATGCCATCTGATTATCTTGCCATGAGCATTGGATTTGTGGTGGGTCTGTGGACAGTTTTTTGCACCATGTTGATGAAGAGAACATGGAGGGCTGCCTTCTTCCAGTTTGTTGATATGATGTACGACATGGTTTATGTGCAAGTGGCTGTAAGGTGGGCTCACATGATGGAGAAAACTCAAGACGGTGCACCATGAAGCGTCCAACTCTGGTGCAGCCAAATTTTTTGTATCCAAATGCTATTTGTATATTTGCACCATATCTCTATTTGTAACTCTAAAAGGGGCCATGGCTGGATGTATGTAATTTACTGGCGTACTGGTATTTGTATGTTTGTACTGTAGCAAATGAAGTGTATATGTTTGTGGATTATTTAAGCTGAAATTTGGCCATTGATCGCTGTGTACTGCATGGGGAAAGATATACAGCCCCGCCGTATAGGAACTCTACGTTTTTCATGTTCTTCAGTTTGTGTTGTACATTCCCAAAGAGTAATAAGTCATCAGCATAGCAAACAAATGCCACCTGTTAGTCAATATGTGAACAGACTTGTTTGTAAGATATATCAAGATTCAAGAGGCAAGAGGTAGAAAGCTTTGTTCACCATCACTGCTTGTAGACTTATTCATGTTTCTTTTTTTCTTTTCTGCGAGTGAAGCTGCCATTTGAGCTGACTTTCTTACTCGACTCGACCATGCCCGCCAAGGCTATGTTTGCCAGCGAACTGAGAAGCCCAAAGCCGACCAATTTTAAGCCCTTGGAGTAGGTGACTCTGGAGCCCTTTGAGCGCGAGCATGCCTGCATCGTTGGTGGTTACAGGATGCCCAAAAGTAAAAGTGAACTCACGAAGAAAATAAGTGTTGGTTTTATGTCTAGAGTCTCTTTCATGCCAGAGATGTAATCTGGGGTATATTTGCACTTTAGGAAGGAGCCACCATGAATGTAATTTTGTTTATATTTGCATGCCCACCATCATCAGTGCGTGTGCTAGTTTCTGCTTTGTTATGTGCAAAATCAAGATTCGTGTTTACAGCAGCCAGCAGTCTACGGAAAGTACTGACTCGTGTTACAACACCCAGGAACTGAAGCCAGTATATAATTTTATGGTTCACAGGATGGACATGTAAAACAAGGAAAAAGATGTGAGCAAACTGTGTTGTACCAGGAGCACCAGTGAATTTCATACTGGCGGTTGCGACAGATTATTTTCTAACATCCCATAGTCAACACTTCTTCAGGCATTAAACTTGTTTCCAGGGGATATCATCAGCTATTAAATCTTCAGCCATTTAAACTCTGTTTCCGGGGGACACTCTGGATGAACTGCAGAAGACATTTGACTCTTCGGCCTCATGCAAACCCACACATCCAAAAATGCACGAGCCTGCAAAAGAAAACGAACTGAAAAATGCAAAACAATGCTGAAAGTAGGCGCTCCCTGTTTCACAAGCATACAAGCAAAAGCAGATGAATATATATGGATCAGCAGAGTGCGCGGGGTTTGGCCAGTCTGGTGACATTGACATGGCACATGGACAGAAATCAAGAACCACCAGGTGCTCCTAAAGTGTATAGATCGAACGAACACCAATGCCTTCAATCCGCTACTCAGGAATCAGTCTCATACCAGCTCAGCAGAGAGATGCTCTGCTTTCACTTGTCATCTAGGAAAGGGGATTCTGAATCAAAAAAAATTCAGGTTGTTAACTGCAGCCAGTGCCACAAATTCATGTTGAGTGTGATGCCAAGTCTGATCACAGAACTTAACTTCTGGTATCACTATCACACATCTAAAACACCTTATAAAAAACCTACAGTACATTGAGTACACAATCACAAACAAACACGGAACATATGAAGAATAAATGCTTTCAAGTGATCCAATGTTTGGAGTTGGAAAGCACATCTGGTTCTTGCCACCCCATGCTACGGAAGCAACATCCATCACGACGGAAGTAACCACAGGCCACGGCCAAGGAAAGTGGAGATACAGCATCGGCCGGGAGTATCTTTCCAGACTTCTTCTTGACGCCGAGTTCCCATGACTCTAGCACGGCTGATGTTGCTCACAGAATCTACATGAGAAAATAACCATCGCTTAACGGCAAATTGACATAAGTCTTGAGTTCTCAAACAAAAATGAAAAATGCTCACTAAGAGCCTGAAAGCAAGAACAGGATAGCCACAACCGGCCGGCAAAATAAAAGATAGGAAACTAAACCCCTATCCCATCCATATTATTGATACAGTAAAATTATGTTAGATATTTTTAATCTTCTGGAGAAATGGAACAAAACATAAGTATTACATGATTGGCGAGAAGACAGAAATAATAAAGTGAACATAAACAAATAGCCAATTAATATTTCTTATTGTATGGTGTGTGGGGACGGCATGATTAGCAAGGCAGCAAAAAGACTGACTTTAGCGCTCACAAAAATAAAAGCTATGCATATGATTCTTAATCTCGGCTCAGCTTGACGCATACATTTTTTAATCAACACAAACGTGAAACGGTGAGCCATTTTGTACGTCTGGCCTAAATAGTTCCAAATGGGATCCATTTACATTTCTATTGCTCTCTGTCCCCTTCAAGGGATCTCTACTGCTCAAAAACCTACTGTTTTGTAAACGATAAGTTCTCGGCCTTTGAGCTTGACCACGCCTGTGTCGTTGGTCGTTACAGAATGCCCCAAAAGCAAAAGCAAAAGTATAATTAAGAAAATATTTTTTTATGCCTGAAGTTTGTTTCATGTCAAAAAAAATGGAGATTTCGGTACCGAAGCCTGTACTAGCGTGAATAATACGTCAGGGTCATATGACGACAGTTTTTTTTTTCGGGAGTACACGGCAGATTTATTTTGTACCACCCCAGAGTCAACACTAACGCCTGTACCATCGAAAGCAACATTTAAACTTGTTTCCAGGGGAATTATTCATATACTCCCTCCGTCCTAAAATTCTTGTGTTAGATTTGTCTAGATACGGATGTACCTAATACTAAAACGTGACTTGATACATCCGTATTTAGACAAATCTACGACAAGAATTTTGGGACGGAGGGAGTACTTACCATCAAAACCAGCATTTTGCTGGGGGGAAATCGGATGAATTGCACCATAGATTTTGGTCTTCAGTCTCATGCGAATTCACACAGTTAGAACATCCAAGAAAGGAAGAGCCTGCAGAAGAAAACGAACTGAAAAATGTGGGAGCAGCTTCATATGCTGAAAGTAGGCGCTCCCTGTTTCACAAGCAAAAGCAAAAGCAGGTATATGATAT